GTTTGTGTTTGTTCTTTTTCTTTTCTGGGGGGGGGGCCTTTGTTTGGTTTGGGTTTTTTCTTTTTGTTTTTTTTCCTTCTTGTGTGTGCTTTTGCCAGTCTTGAAGGCATTGAAATGTCATGGGAGAATTCTGGAACATGTCTTCCAAAACTAACCTTTAGTTCTTAGAGTAGTGGAAAATGGGTGTAAAGAATGGTACTGCCTGCTTTAAATTAGTTCTAAGCAGTTGAATGTGTTTGAAGATGTTTAAGACCATGTTTTCTTTCAGATGAATGAAGCAGAAATTCGGAGTGTCTTTGAACAATATGGTACTGTGAAGGAGGTGAAGGTCATCACTGACAGAACTGGTGTTTCAAAGGGGTAGGTACAATAGGGTACTTGTTTTAAGTTGCTGCTTATGTGGACAGCATTCTATAATGGATGGTATGAACAGATACTTACCAACACACTTGACATGCTTAAGCCTTAATACTAGCTGCAGTTGACTGTTGTGGTGTTGTTGGTGTGAAACCAGTAAATCTATACTGCCCCCAACTAAATCTGTATAATCTTAGCTTAACTTGTGTGATGCTTACATGGCCAATTCTTTTGTAGGAGTCATTTGCTGGCTAGAGTAGTTAAAAATTTGCTGACAGTTCAGGATGATTAAGAGAACGAAGTTAGTTTATCCAGGGCAGTGGGTTTGCCCTCTCTTGATACTTGGGAATAAATTCTAGAGTAAAACAGTTTCCAAACAGTTTAAGTATGTGAACAAAGTTGAAACAAGGGAAATTCTTTGAATATTTAGAAAAGTTCTGGAGTACTGTGGTGAAACCCTTAAATAAGATGAAGGACCGTACCCTGTTGAGGTCTGGGGACGCCATCCCACTTGAGGTTCCTTCCAGCCCAGCTTTTCTTAGATTGTATGCTTAGATCCTAGAATGTCACATCTTTTTCTTCAGCATATGTAGCAATGCAAGAGCTGGAAGTAAAATTCATTTTCTCATATCCCTTGCTAGTCCTCAAAGTGAACCCTGCTGTTCAGTTAGCCAGTGTATGTTATGAGTATTGATAATGACTTATTCCATTAATGGGACACGATTATTACTGTAATGCTCTGAAATTATCTCAATTGTATAGACCAGGTAAACAAAGGAGTCAGTGAAATAAATTGAAAAACCTCTTCAAGAATTGCTTCTCTCACTGGTGTTACTGTTCCTATAATGCCTGCTTTCCTGACTTCTATAGTAAATACAAAATTTAAAGATAAGTCAGATATTACTTAATTTTTTTTTTAACTTTCTGGGTTGCTAATACCAGCAGCAGTATTCATTTTGAAAAATGAAGATGAAAAAAATAGCCCTTACTTATATTTCACATTACTCTAAAATCTGGCATTTAGTTGCTTTCACTGGCCCCATAATAGATACTGCTAGTGAGCAGTAAATAGATTTTTAGGCTGAATCATAAACTAATGTCCTAGTTGATAATTTTGAAGTGCACTATAGTATGCCTGGCATGTTGTTAACTGGTCTTGTTCAAAAGAATTTGTCTAACAGTCAAATGAAACTGATTACTGAATAGTCTGTTCTTCCTTTTTAGGTATGGATTTGTGTCTTTCCTGGACAATGTGGATGTTCAAAAGATAGTTGATGTAAGCTCTTTGTCCAAATTACTCAAATAAGTTGATATATGAAGGCTACAGTCTAGCTTGTAGAAGTCAAGTCCTGTACCCTGTAAAGAAATGAGGACACAGAAAGTCTAGGGCTGACCAGAAAGTAAGCTTTCCTAAAATGTGTACTGGTGGTAACATCTCTATGTATTTGCTTAAGTAAGAAGCAGAACTAGTTCTCAGCTAATTAGCATTTAGCCTGGTGTGGTTGAACATCTCATGTTACTTTGTTTCTGATTGCTCTCATTTATTTGTGCTTGAAAGCCTTGAGTGTTTGGCTGCTTGCTTTTTGTAGTGGATGATTGTCATAGAACCCTTGTGCTTATGGCAGAAACATACACATTTAGTTATTGGGATGTCTTGGTTTAAGATAATTCAAATGAGACACTCTATGTTGAGTAATCTCTTCTTGTGGTTAACCAATTCCTTTTCACCAGTAAGGAGAAACAAATATGGATAGATATAAGTGAAAAAAATAACTGTTTACTAATAAAGAAGGAAATAGGAACAGGCAAAAAAAATAACAGTAATAATAACTAGTTAAAAAGTTGCTGAAATTGCCTGGACTCTCAGGGAACAAAGAAAAACTTAAAATGGTGGAGTGATACCTTCCCCAAAATGGTGGCCTCTGCAGCTGACCGTCCTTGTGGTTCCAAAGACAAAGGGAAAATAGTGACAGCCCTCCCCCTTCTTATCTCTTCATTGATGAATGCAGCTGGCACTCTCCAGCAGCTGACACTTGGTCAAGGGCTGGAGCTCATGAAGGGGTTTTCCCTCCTTGGCAGCAGACAGCCAGGCAGCTGTGCTGGGGTGGCTCTGCTTTCACTTCTGCAGGGCTGCTCCATAGTGGCTGTAGACAGGCACAGAATTCCCCATGAGCCAGTCCAAGATGCAAGAGAGAAACAAAAGGGGGGTGGGGGGGCACCCCAAATCAGGGCCTCTGCCTTGAGCAAAGACCATAAGACAAGAGAGAGTGTTCTGTTTGCTTCAATATTTTAAAAGTTAGGGCACTTGCCTCACTCTGTCCTATGGTTCTGTTTTCTGGCTCTAGGGTCTTAGGAGACAGTAACAATTTCAGACACAGATGAAATACAATAACATTTTGGGTTGCCTAGGGCATTGGAGTAACAGTATCATGGAAGACAGTTTTTTTACTTACGTCTCAGTAGTTGAAATATGCTTCTCTAGTGGTATTTGTGCATTTGGATGCTACCTGGACTGCGAGTATTTTTTAAGCTTCCTAGATAGTGCTGCAGCTATCTGATGTCATCATGAAGCTTTCCTGTAGCTAACACAAGAGATGAAGAGGTGGAACTGAAGAGTCCTTCTGATCTTAGGAGTTTGGTATCAGAGAAGTTTTAAATCTCAGTGCTTAAAACCAAATCAGTTACTTGGTTCTGATGGACTTGACCACTCCCCAGACTGAATACAGTAGCTGTAAAAATAACATGTATTGAAATACTTGCTCTTTGAAGTCTTTGGCTTAGAAAACTCCTGTGTCTCTGAAGGATGAACAGTCTCTCATTTGCTTCTGAAGCTCTTAGATAGGGAAGTAGATCAGAAAGACAAAACCAGATGGGTGTGCAAGGCACAAATGTAGTGTTCTGTGATGTGTAGATGTATTTACTGGGCATCCAGCTCGGTAAGTGGGAAGAGAACATATTTGAATAAAGTGGAGAGTAGTGAAACCCCAGCAAGAGAGCCTTGATTCTCACCAAAAAGATTTTAAAGGCTTGCTGTTATTTGATGGTGCAATGACAAAAATGTACAGTAACTTCTGTACTCAGCAATAGACTTCATCTGAGAACATACTTACCTTTTTACTATGGATTAAATTTGTTATGCTATATCAGTGTGGAGTGCTTGCTCTGAGACAACAATTTCTGTGGAGACCTCTTCAATAGCATTGACATTTGAGCCATGTACACTGCTGATTTTTTGTGTGTGCTTCTTCAGAACTGGAGCCTGCAGTGTTATAATAATAATAATAATATAGTACTTACTGATGTGAGTTTGTATATCAGAGGTATTGGAAGACCCAGCGGCATGTGGCAGGTTTTCTTTCCAGCGCACATTTCAGGTCTGCAGGCAGTACAAATTCTTGCCATATCAGGAAGGAGCATGTTCATATAGAAGTAATGTTAGAAGATCTGTTGGCTTTTAGGAGGGGATGGAAGAAAGGAAAAAATTAACATGGGTGTTGTAGAGCTCAAATTATTTTAAGCAAAGGCTATTGCTCTAAATCACTTCAGGCCTTACCTGCACTGAATGGTCAGTGTTTTCTGTAAATGAACATGATAGAGCCTCTCTTTAACTATACCTATTCTTGGTGCCTATGTTAATGTGCCTGTTCAACAAGGCTTTGTAGCCTTGCTCAGTCTGACAGTGTTTTTCTGCTGCTTTAGGTCTGTAACTGCACTCTGGTCCAGCATGAATCAGTTTGCAGTTCAGAATGGAAAGTTGTCTTCTGTTTAGAGGGGAGGCCTGTCTCCCAGTTTTTCTCATTGTTGAGGTGGAAAACATGAGGTGCATGGTTTTGGGCTCAACAAGATTCCAGAATTAATTTTAAAATACCCAAAATCAACCAAGACACCTTCCTCTGAAAAAAAAAAAAAATCAAAAAACATCCACCTGTTAAACTAGTCAGGTTATTGCACCATTTTTCATCTCCATATATTTCTTGAATCATCTTCTCATACTAATAGAAATTAGAATGAGCAAGATTTCTTTATTATTATACTTCTGCTTATTTTTACCAGCCAACAATAAAGATGTCTGTTCAAAGCACTTTCTTTAGCAGAAATGGGAGAAAATTGCAAAAACACGTATTTTCTCCTGAAGCAGGCACCTCTGTAGGGTTGTGTGTGATAGAGAATCTAGACAGACTGTCTGCATCCAATACTGACTTTTAATGCTTGGTTCTAAAATTGTGCTAATAGGGCTAAACCAAAAAATGATTGACCAGAAACCTAAGACTTTGGTCACTGTCCACTAATACCCTCACTTAGACAAGAATAGTTAAAACCTGTGTGCGTAAAACCGCAGGGCTGACAGTCGTTGATACATAGTTGCAAATTTGAGTAGTGCGTGTTGCTATTAGGGCGAGTGATACATAATTTTGGAGGGTCAGTGAGAAGGCAGATAGCTGAGCTGAGGGTGCTGTAGGAAATGCAAGATAAGAGGTATATGATATTCAGAGAGGAGACTGTTGAGCCTTTATGACAGTTGATGTACTGTGGTGTAGAAGCAGAGTCCAGTCTCTTTAAAATCGCACAAACCTCTCGCCTTGCTGATTCCCAGCTTACAGAGAATAACCTGTCTTTCAGTCACAAATCAACTTCCATGGTAAAAAGCTGAAACTGGGGCCAGCAATCAGAAAACAACAAAACTTAAGTAAGTACATCTAAATAAATTTGTCAATATTGCAGGTGTTATACTACAACAAGTTTTTTTTCTTAATTATCCATCATTATCTTTGTAAATACTTCATAGGTGATGCAATATGTATATTTCAGTTAAACCTTGGTTCTGACTTCTGTGAGCTCACTTGTATAATGTTCTCATGAGTGAAGTTGGTAGCACAATACAATATAGTTAATATTGGGTTAATTTTAAGAGTCAAAACCCTTAAGGTTTTTTTTCAACTTGAATTCTTATTCCTAATGAAATACATGTAGTAACATCTTAATACTATTTTTTATCTCTTTCAAAATAAGATTCCTGTGTGTATCCCAGACAACTAGTTCTTGGTCCTCCTCCACCACAGTTCCAGAGTGTATGGGGTAGTCAGGGTATGGAAACGTACATGCAGCCTCCAGCTGTCATGAACCCAGTAACACCCTATGTTCAGGTAAGACTGCTCCTGACGCTGATTATGAATCACAGTTAAGTATTTTTTGAAGGTGCAAGCATGTACAACTTTTGGAGTATGTACTGAGATTTCAATCTGACCTTACCTGCCTGTTTTCATATTGCCTTCCCCAGTAAGAAGCGCCCACTTCAAACCACTTCAAAGGAATGGCAACAACCTTAAAAAATTGATTAATTGATGTTAAACAAGAGGGAGATAATCTTTTAAGAATGAAAACTGTTGATAGTGGAGGGAAGATTGAGTGAGTTACTATTGCCTGTCACAGGTGCAGTTCACAAATGAAATGTATCCAGATAGTTAATGTATTGCTGTTCTGCTTCAGTATAAACTACAAAATTTAAAATGTACTTTTATAAAGTAAGAGTGGGATCAGAAGTTGTCTCAGGTAGTTTTCTCTCCTCCTAGCCAAACATACCCTTGATTTTAAGCTGCCGTTGTGTTAGAAGAACGCTGTGTTACAGCATCTGCTGTTAATAGCTGTTAATAGCCCAGCACAGTATTGCCTGCAGGACATCACTGTACTGGTAATTCAGGTAGGCATTCATACTGAGATATGGGTACTGGGCTTCTGGCCTGGATGAGTCCTGTGCTGTGAGTGAACCAGATCAGGCTCTCTTGCTGCATTTGCCTGTATGATGGAGCAGTACTGACTACAAACTGATCCTGTTTTGTATATCTTAAGCAAAGAGGGGAGAGTAAACTTGCAGAAATACTTCCTTGCAAGGCAGAGAGCTTGATAATGGTATTCTTGCTGATTCTTTTAAGTTTGTTAATTTAAGAGAATTATTTTTCTTAAATATTGAAATGTGCCTTTAACTATTTTCTGTAGAATCTGGGAAGATTCCAGGTTAACACTGTCAGAGTACTTACAGGAAATAAATACTAGGAAATTATCTTAATTGGAATACTTAGCTTCCTTTGCTTCCTAGAAACTGATCCTTCAGACTGTACTCCATTATTTCATAGTAGTCAGTCTGCTTCAGGTCTACTTCTCAAAGTTTATGGTATGACTTGCACTTCTGAAATTACTTAAAAGTTCAGTTACAAGCAGACATGGGATTTTTAGATATAGAAGACACTCATAATCTCACTTTGTAGATGTTATTAGTGCCTGAAGTACTGAAGCAAGCCCTGTGGGAAATCTAAGGGTTGCTTCTAAAAAGTGAGTCTAGTCTGCACAGGAATTGAAATAACAGTGTAACTTTTGAAAATGTGCTCCTGGCTAATATCTATACAAATATCATACTTGTATCTTGCTTCAAAGTTGTGGTTTGTTTTTTTTTTTAAAAAAAAAACACTTTATTTGCAGCCCTATCCATACAGTTCATCACCAGCTGTACTGCTAAAGCAGCAAGTTCCCATTGGGTATCAACCGGCTTACAACTATCAGGTATGTAAAATTTTAGTAGAAGCAGAAAGGCTGTTGGATACCTGACAAAACTGGAATGAAGTGTTAACTGGAGTCTGCTCTTGATATGCTTCTCATTCTTTGAAATCTGTTTTCCTTCACTTCTTCACAGCTACCAAAGCTAAAACAGAATAGTGATGAAAACTGTTGAGTAACTTAGTGTATAGTTTTCTTTTGATAGTTTCATTATTTTTTTCTTAAATATATAGTGATAAAACAACTTTCAAATTAGAAAAGTGCATGATAAGTAGTACTTGTGGGAGGGAACTTTGCATGTGTACATGCTGTTGTGGGGGTTCTATGTACTTGGAATCAGGATCTTATCAGATGATAGAATGATTGATATGGGGGGGAAATGTGCTCTTGCTAAAATCGTCGAGAGAAGGCATTTAACTGATAGTGGGGTTTGAACTCACAAGTGTGTGGCCAAGTCCTGTTACTGATGCTAAACTAGGAGTAACTGGCAGCAGCTTGAGGCTTGAGATTTATTTTCAATGCAAGTACTTTTGTTTCCCTTAATTTACTAATATTAAAAATATTTTAATTTTTTTTTAACTTGGAGTGAGGAGATCATTAATGCATAACATAACTTATTTCATTCAACTAATTGTTTTGTGAAATGAAATGTACATTTCATGTACAGACATGAAGTGCTGTCAACAGTAGCTCCTACTTGTCTGTGTTGGAAATGAATGAATGGTGGTTCTTATTCTTGTCCAATTTCTGTTTAAGGCTCAACCACAGTGGCTTCCTGGAGAGCAAAGAAATTATGTAATACCTCCAACTCCGGTAAGCCTAGACTTCTGAAACTGTCTTATTAATTAGCACATTGTTTTTACAGCTTGATACTTAAAAAAAAGTCTGATGGTTGTCTGGAACAAGGTAATCTGGTCTACAAAATCTGTAATTGTTAATGAGAGTTGTAGTTCAGGATTTCTACTGATATGGTGCTTAAAAATTGAGTTACCTGACAGTTAATGCCTGTTTTATGGCATTATTCTACATGTTCTAGTCACAGAACTCTGGAATTTTAACCAGTTTGGAGTTGGAGTCCAGGAAAAGTTGGAGGACAAATAAGGTGACCCAATGTACCATCTTTTTATAAATTTAAAAGGTCTTCATATTCTTTGCAAATACTGATGAATTTTTTGCCTCCTTTCAACAGGTTTTAAAAATTTTTCCAGGCTGCTGCAAACTGTAGATGGTGCTGCTGTCGGCCATCTAAAAAAATTCTTTGCTTTCTGTGACTTAATGCGAGTAACATACATGAGAAAGGGGGAAAAAATACTCTGTATTTGTTTAGCAATGTTGGAGTTAAAAATGCCCATGGGGCAAGTTTAGTGTTCTTTAGGTATATTTGTTGGCTTCAGTTTTGATTAAGTGTTTAAAAGCTGTAATATATAATTTTATTCTGAATGGTATTCTTTTTCTGAAAGCTATGAGAAGTAATTGAAATACTGATGACACTGTTGGCTTGAAATAGTTTCTTTTAGTAGCATCTATGAATGTGATACAGCCATAGTGTATCACTTTATAATTCAATTCAAAATGTTTTTAGAGTAGGTGTGTATGGGGGTTTCACTGTTAAATGCCACAGGCTTGATTATAGGAGCAGACAACTATTCTAGAACTATCTCACTTAAGCAACTCTAAGTATCATTCTTAAATGTTTTAGTAAAACAGGTTATGACACACTTTCACCTACCCATGAAATTTATCAAAACTGTGCGATAAGATAAAATTGGCGCAGTTCATGGATAGATGAGTATCAATGACACCGTAACTGTGCATGTTTTCCCAGTGTTACTGAAACATTGTAGTACTTAAAAACTCCACAGGTGTATGCTCCAGTAAACTATCATGCCACTGAGGATGCAGGATTTGTACAGATGGAATGTGCTGTTCCAGAGCCCACACAGTTGCCTAACAGCCCACAAAAGGTAAGTGCTTTCTCAAAACTTTAATGTTTCTATCATAAATGCTATTCCCAGAAATTTGCACGAGGGTTATGTAGCTTTGTCAAGGACCCTGGACAAGGTTATAGTTGCTGCTTTCAGCCAGTTGTTAAGTTCCATATATCCAGTTTCTATGTGTAACTTTAGAGGTTTCATTTCCTTGAAAAACTCTTAGTGCTTGTTTGCAGTGCTGAGGGCTGCATAAAGTGTGTTCCTCTTGATTAAGACTTTTTTCCACAAGACTTTGTTTAATCTGTGGAAATTTTAGGGGAGAATTACAGTCCTAAAAAAAGCAGATTCAATAGCACTGCCTTAGGTAGATTTATTTTAAGTGTCAAATGTCTGAATTGGCAGCTTTCTCCTTTTCTCACTGTTTTGTGGAAGATGGCCCCAGTTTAGCAAATAGTTGGCTCTGTTTCCTAAAGTTTCCTAAAGTAGAAATTTCATTTCTCAGCTGTTAGCCTAATCCACAAGAGAACTGGCATGTCACTGATTAGAATTGTTACACTGTAACACTGAAGGGGGCTAGTGAGTTATTTAATATTAAAAGATAAAGGGGGAGAAAAAATTTACAAATACCTCAGGAAACACAAGGCAGTTGAGGAATCCTGATTGCAGAGTAAACCCTGTGACACACTGGCATTGCTAGCTAGTAATGCCCTAATTAAGAAAATGAGTATTGATGCACCTGTAACTGTATTTCAGAAGTCTGTGGACAGGGGCATGCAAACAGTATTATCCTGTCTGTCTAATCCTGAGAACCAGCTGACAAATGACTTTGTATCACAAGACAACAATGTAAAGGTATGTAGTAAAAGCAAAATTATATCCCTGAAACATAGCTGACCTTCAATGTGTTCACATACAGGATACCATAAAGATGAAGGGATTCATATCTGTGAATGCCACTTCCTTGTACATGCTCTGAGATGTGTGCGTTTGGCTCTCAGTTGCTTAATGGTGGAAAGAAGTGCTGAAATTGGATTCAGTGGGTTTAATCAGACAGCATAAAAAAATTGCTGAACAGTCAAGTAATGAACAGTTAGAGCATAAGTTTGTCTGGCTAGTCATTTCTCAGTGACATGGCTGAAAGCAGTAGATTGCTCCCTAGTTTGGACAGATAATCTGTACACTGAAGTAGCCACTGTGGATGGTGGCAAGTTATGCTTTGTCTCTGCTTTAACCAATAAATATGTCCAAGTTGGTAGCTGGTTGTCGTTTTTTTGGTGTGTGTTCAGTCTTTGTAGATTTGCAATTTCTGATTACTATCCAAGTCATGTGTAATTTAAGGTTATTAATTTCTAAGACCTTGCTTCCTTTTTGTGAAAGGATAGATAGGTGAACTAGATAGTTGTACTCTGAAATGGGAATGCAAAAGCTTTGTTTTGTCAGTTTTGGAGAGGGGTGAATAGAGTACAGGGTGTCTGGAAATAGTTTCCATGAAACTTTGGTTGCTTTATTCTGATTAATTGAATTTTTTTCTTGTCCTCTCTTCTATCCCATCATAGGAGAATAAGACATTCCACTTGAGAAAAGGAAGGACAGTACACAAAAACATTTGATCAACAAAGACTTCAAAGTACTTAAATTAATGACCTAGATGGTACTTCAGTTTAGCATTACAGAGTGTAACAATTTCTCCAAGATACTTCAAGTAATGCTTGTGCTCATGTTCTACCTGTTTTGATACTGTTGTTGTTGCTTGAATAGTTTGAAGTTGTAAGAGTTGACAAACTTCAGTGTTACTGTTTTGTGCTTCCCCTGATAAGAGACTGGAATGTTGGAGAGTTTTATGTGTTTGCTGTATGTGGATTTTTCTCTGAGCTTTAAGGTACAGTTTGCATATTACACATGTTTTTTTGTTAACTACAATTTGACTCATACTGACCATTTAACTCCTGCCGTTTAGAAATGGAAGTAGTTATTTGCCCAAGAGAATGTATTTTAAGACTGAACTCTTAAATCAGTGCAAAAGAAGATGAGAAGTTGTAACTGAGCTGAAGCCCTGTAAGTCCTGGTTGCCTTTAGACGACATAATCAATGTGATTATGTTCATTGATGACCGTCTATGTACCTGCAGTCTTGAAAATCAGTATTATTTTTGGGTAAATAATGAAGGGAATCCTGAAATTCATGTATGTAACTCAAAATGCAAGAATGTTATCTGTATTGGACACTCAGCCAATACAAGTTTTTTTTACTTGAAAAGTCTTAGCAATACCTGTATTTTAAACTTCTGAGAAAACACTGCACTTAAATAAGCCTTTGTTATGTGATGCAAACTGTTAATCAAAGAATATGTGTATGACTGTTTTAATAATCATGTAGATTTTAGGTGTGTATTGTGAAACAGTGAAATAAATTTTTACTTTTCTTTGGTTTCCTAGATTTCTGGTGAACCAAATCGAAATAATAACTTGTTAAAGCTGTTAAAAAAAGCTGTTAAAAACTTACTACTCTGTGTGAGATTTCCAGTTGCTATAAATCTATAGCAAACTTTCATTTTGCATAGATAGTAGCTGAAGTTTAAAAGGAGTAGAATTGAGAAAACAGTCTGGTTTGTTGGGTCCTATATTGTTTTTTTCCTCCTACTCAAACACCTCAATCTCTCCAGACAATTTAAGAAAACTATTCCTGTCTTGTTTAGAATTCATATATGTCTAAGACTGCATGTTCAGCTTCAAATTTCCAGAAGGTTTAGAGATAGTAATGGCTAAACAAAGACTTAGCTAGAAATACATGTTAGTGAAATATCTGGAAGGGAACTGGATAAGTGAGGGAATATGGCTAGAGCAAATGTCCACGGACTGCTTCTCAGGAGTGTTCTGGATAAAATTTTATTAAAGGAGGTGGGGAAGAATGTTACAAAGCTGAAAAAAGTGGTGAAAAAATTACCAATGTTCTGATAGCATAAATTAACCTGGAAAAAGTAAAGCTCATACTAATTTCTGTACTCACTGTTTCATGTTACTGAAGATAAGTATTAAGTGTTCCCATGATACTGATTTGCCACATTTTTCTCAGATGGCTCTTTTAAAGATAGTCGTTTGATTGTGCTTAACTTGTGTTAGCAGCTTTTTTGCAAGGGCTTTTCTAGTATTGAATTTGGACCCTGTCCTTTCCAGCTTTCAGTATCTAAACAAACCTGCATGTGCTTTCAAAGCTGTGATGTCAGTTTATTGATAAAAGGTAGCTGTTTCTTCGCAAATGCAGGTTTCTTTTTGGCTTGATGTTTTAGGTTGACTTGGTTGCACCAGGCCTTACCTGAGGCTTTCTGCTGTAGCTCTAGGAAAATACAAAGGGCCCTGTGCTTAACTGTCTCATTGAAGATGTCCCACCACCAAAAGAAAAGCTTAAACCTGAACATGTCTACACAGAGTGCGTGATTTCTGTTTATTTGACTGAGTGTTACGCATAGGACCATCTTTCATTGAAATGGTCATACTAGATTCTTACAGACATGCTGAGAGGTTTTATTACAGGGGAATAGCCAAGGCCTTCTAAGTACCAATTATTTTTTCTTCCATTAGATCATGTTCATCTTAGCTGGTTCTGCTAGCTGCTTACCTGTAGAGAATTGATTTTTTTTTTCTTTAGTTATAACTAAACCCATGCCTTTTTAATGTTCTTTTGAGGTACCATATAAGACATAACATAAAGCATAACAAAACTAATAGGTAAGTCTCTTTACTGTTGGGTTCAGAAAGCTGAAACATCTGTTTAATACTGCTATGACTGAAGGCATTTCCAAAATTAGTGCATGGTTGGAGCATTTTGCAAATTTGTACCCCTTGTATTCTTAAATCAAGTGGACCATGTAAACTGAACTAGCAGGAATAGTGAGTCCTTGTGCATCTGCATTTGCTTGCACACAGTATCTACATTCTGTGAGAGACTCAAAAGCTTTGAGTGTACTTTAAATATTAAAACAGCTCTTTGCCAAAAGAAACAATTGCTTAGACAAGATAGAAAAATTCAGTGCTTGCATTTAATTGGTATTCTAGAGCTATGGCATTTGGTTTGTTTTATGGTTCTTGCCTGAAATATCCCAGTTTGCTGTTTGATAGCCTTTTCATATCTTTTTACACATTTTGCCACCTGACAGAATTATTCTTGGAATGAGACAGCCAGACAGATGGTATTCTTGGATCTCCATTAGAATGATTGTCTGGCACAGACACTAATTCCCTGTCAAAATGGAAATATTTTTTTTCCTTCTAGGTATTTGTGTGCTAAACGAAGTTGCTAAGCTATCTTAATCTGAAGGTGATGTGGTCCTTTATTGCTACAAAGAAGCAAAAGGGTTTTCACAGGGCTTTTTTTGTATACTTTACTGAAAGAGATTTTTGAAGTCCTGTAATGGTTCTGTATTCCTTGCAGGAATGACTTTCTATACCAATATTTTAGAAGAGATATATAATTTAAGAGCTTTTTATGTCTGCCACTTTCAGTGTTGCTAAGAAAGTTAAAAAAAAAGGTGATCCCAAGCCATTAGGAAAACTGAGATTTCTTCAGATAGAATATGCATCTCAAAAATCCTTAAGGTAGCTTTACAACCCAGATGGATTCTTACTTCCAACCTTATTGTTTCTGCTGTAAAATTTGGGCTGAACCTTGGGAGACAAGCTAATACTGTAATAACTTTTAAAGGAAAAGGCCCCAGATGAGTTCAAAGAGGCCTTTGTATTGTCCCAGGGACTATTCAAGCTTTAACTTTGGTGAATAACTGTAATGGGTTGGTCTGTTTGTTTTTTTTGTTTCCAAGAAAACCTGTTTTTTTGTTTTGGGTATTTGGACTTCTTTTTCCTGAGTAGTGTGAACTTGTGTGTAGTGGGTGCTCAAGACAAATATGAAAAAGGGTTTTCTGTTCCTTTACTTCAAGGTTATGAGACTGTAGGTAGTACAGAAGTGAAGACAGGATTTATATTTATAAGCATGTTGCTGTAGAATATGCTGCTAGTCCAAAAGCAATTATTGTATAGTTATTCTCATTTTAATTATCTCAAAATTTCTAAATATGTACTCAAATAAAGATGCATGCTGTAGCTAATATATTGCTGATGTAGTGGGATATTAGTAGTACTACTTAAAAAGACAGTACTGGTGTGTCAGCAGTACCTCTTCTCAGGGTGTGTGTATCATGCCCTTTAAGCTTCTGTTCACCTTTCCCTGTAAGTAGGTGTTCAGATTTCTGGGTACTGTTTGAACTGCTTGGTGTTTATACTAGATACCTTGAAAGATCCTTTCCAACCCAAACTGTTCTATGATTCTGTCGAGGAGTCTGATTTCCCCATCCCCATTCAGGATCACGCTGGATTTAACCTCTTTAGGCTGTCTTAAATTTAGAAGAATAATGTTTTGCTGTGTGGTACATTTTTTGTCTAGAACAAACTTAACCAAATCTTTTCCCCCATTATTTGGTTTGTTCCTTTATGAATGAATGTACAAGGAACTTTTAAACTTCTTATGAAGTCTTCCTAGAACAATTTAGGAGGTTGTCGTCTTTTTTTAGAAAGAATTTGTGCTAACAACTGTAATTAATTTGTGGTTTATTTCATAGAATGGCTTGGGTTGGAAGTGACCTGTAAAGTGCATCTAGTGAACCCCCTTGCAATGACCAGGGATATATTCAACTAGATCAAGTAATTCGAAGCCCTTTCCACTCTGACCATAAATATTCCCAAAGGGTGGGACATCACCACTTCTGTTCTTGTCTCACAGGCTTATGGAATAAAATTTCTTCTTTCTTTACTTTTGTCCAGTATAAATCTGCTGTCTTAGTTTAAAACCATTACTCTTCCTATTACATCTTGCCCCTACTAAAATGTCTGTTTTTATTCCATGTTCCCTTTAGTATTGGAAGGCCCCAATAATGTCTCCCTGGAGCACTCTTTCTGGGGTGAGCAATCCTAGCATGTTCTGCCTGCTAGGAGAGGTTCTCCAGCCCTTTGATCATCATTATGGCTCTTTCTCTGGACCTGCTCCAACAGGTCCATGTCTTTCCTGTGCTCAGTACTCCAGGTGGCTCCAGTACTCCAGGCAGGGTTTCACCAGAGTGGCAGAATTGCCTCCTATGGGGGGAAAGGGGAAAAACAACCCAGTGTTTTGGCCTGTGTCAGTTGATAGGGTCATGTACTGCCGAGTTGTGTAGCCATCCAGTTCTTAGCATAAGCTGATTTTATTATCCCTGAGTGTAAGGAAGCAGTTAAATTATTAAAATGGGATTAGTGGCTCCTATATATCATAAAAAGATAAATGATGTCTTTTGTAAGACGTAAAGGGGATCATACATACATATGGTGGAGTAATCGTAGAGAAATGTGTTCTGGGCACACACATTTCAATTTCTAGCTTTTAGGAGGACAGTGAGGCAGAGAATAGGATATGAATTGATCAGAGGCCGTACAATAAATCCAAATCATCCAGGTTGGAAAGAATCTTTGAGATTGAGTTCATTCTGTTCAACTAACACTGCTGAGTTCAACAACAGTCTCCCCAAGTGCCACGTTTTCTCAATACCTCTAGGAATAGTGACTACCACTTTTTTTGGTGGCCTGCTCCAACACTTGACAGCTGTTTCTTGTGAAGAACCCCTGGCAAAATCTGAGGCCCATTCCTTCTTGTCCTCGAACTTCTTTCTTGAGAGGTGAACTTCCAGCCTCCTGAATTGAGTGACAAGGTCTTCTCGGAGCCTCTTTTTAGCAAGGCTGAACACCCCCAGGTCCCTCAGCTGTTTTTCATCAGAATTATGCTTCAGACTCCTCCCCAGCTTCGTTGCTCTGCTCTGGACATGCTGTGGTGCTTCATTTTTCCTCCATTGAGGAGTCCAAAAGAATACAGTATTCAAGATGTGGTCATACCACAGTGCAGTACAAGGAGTCAGTTGCTTCCTGGATCTGGCTGTCCATATTTTGTGATAGAAGCCAGGATGCAGTTGGCCACCTGGGGACACTGCAGGCTCATGTTTTGGCAGCCCTGTTTTGCCTGGGGTCTAGCGGCTGTTTTGGAACTGCTGTGGACTAGGGGAATCTGACTGTTTAATTAGAACAAAGCAATATGAAGGCCTGTGGTGAGTGTGTTGAGGTGAAAAACAAAGGATGAGACTACCATGGTATTTATGATGATTTATTGCTCAAGCCAGATAAGGTATCAGCTGTGAAGGCGTGAGATTTGGAGAGAAGCAACTGGTCAGATATAGCTCAAGTTAGTTACATGTTTCTTCACACAGCAATATATACATTTTGGTCCAATAAACAGTTAACATGAAAGAACATTTAACATTGTTAAATGACAGTTAACATTGTTTCTACTTAATAAGCTATCACCATAACCTAATCATTATAACCTTTGCTTAATTCTGCTGTACTGCGTGTGTTTCAGCCAATAAACTGATAGATCACGTATGCACACATCTGTAAATCAAACCCTTCAGTGTCCAGGCATTTCTATTTTTCTATTTCCCACAGGGTGTTGATACAACGTGATTATTGCCCAGTGCCCTGAATGTCAAAGTGAAGAAATTCAATCAAGTGCAGTAGATGGTGGTAGTGATGTGGGATACTCTTATGAAGGGACTGTGGTTGTTAATGGGGCTCAGCTGCACAGATCACAGCTCCCTGTGGTGCCACCTGATGTCCTTACAGGTAACCAAGATGATCTCTTCTCACCCAGCTTGCCCATCGGCATGTCTTGCTCAGTGCAATGTCCCTGCAGCTCTGGGCACTGTGGCTCTGAACCCCGGTGGCAGCTTGAGGTAGAGGTGACCAGCACTGTGGGTTGCCCAGATGCTCCTTTTCTGCCACTGCAGTTTTCCAGACACTCTTCACCAAGCCTGTGGTGTTTCATGCAGTTGTTGTGACACAAGTGCAGGACCTAGCACTTGGCCTTATATGAGTTTCATAAAATTGGCTCATCAATCCAGCCTGCCCAGATCTCTCTTTCTGCCCTCCTGCAGATCAACACTCCTGCCCAAATTTGTGTGTTCCACAACCCAGGAAGTGTACACTTGTTCTTGTCCAAATCATTGATAAAGACACTAAACAGGACTGGTCATTAGAGCCCCATTAGTAACAATCTGGATGAAACTCCATTTGCCAGTACTCTCTGGCCATGGCCTTGAAGATTTTTACCTAGCAAATGAGCAAGCCATGAGAAGCTGGTTTGGCCAGGAGAATGCAGGGGAGAGCTCTCAAAAGCTGTACTGAAGTTTACTAAAGTCAGGGGGCTGGGTACCCCAAGAACAACTGATGTAAATCTGAAGGTAGCCTCTTACTAATTGGGGGGGGGGGGAACCAGCTTGCTGTGCCTCATGGAACTGAGCAGCTCACAAGTGATCTTCAGGTAGGTTTCAAGTCTGCTGCAGGTGATGTTTTCATTACAGCCATCAGAGGGCTCTCACATCCAGGTCTACATAACAGACTTTGGCTGTAGCGATGAGATGTCAAAGAGCAATTGCACGGAAAACACTGATCAAGGTATGTGCTTGCAGCATATAGACAAAAAGCTTATAGTGTGAATAAGATTTCCCTTAACACTGTTTATTACATTTATTTTGAGCAATTGTGCAGGTTTGATTTGCCTAGAATATTGGGGGACACAGGACCTCCCCCAGAGTAGATATTTTCCTTTCTATTAGATGTTTTACTTGTGCAGATGCAAAATTACCAATGCAGCACTAAATGTTAGGATCATTAACTGAGGTTGCTTGCTTGGTACTCCTGGTTTTCACTAGAATGGAAATCTTTATACATGATTAAGCAATCTATTTACTGAATCTCTCCTAGGGAAAAGTGTTGCAACAATGAATTGTGGTTTAACCCCAGCTAGCAACCAAGTACCACACAGCTGCTTGCTCTCCAGTGGGATCAGGAAGATAATTATTAGAATGGTAGCTAGAAAACTTGTGGGTTGAGATAAAGGCCTTTATAATAGAAAAAGCAAAAGCCTCATACAGAGGCAAAGCAGAACAAGGAGTTAATTCACTTCTCATGAGCAGGCAGGTGTTCAGCTTTTTCCAGGCCAACAGGGGCCCATCACTTGTAACAGTGACTGGGGAAGACAAATGCCATCATTCCAAATGTTCCCTGCTTCTCCTTCCCCTTAATTTATAGATTCAGCATGATGTCCTGTGGTCTGGAACATCCCTTTGGTGAGCTGGGATCACATGTCCCTGCTGTGTCTCCTAGTTCCCCATGCATGCTCAGTCTCATGGCTAGCATGGCAGCACAAGAAGCAGAAAAGGCCTTGGCTCAGTGTAAGCACTGCTCAGCAATAACATCTCTGTATTACCAGCACACTGTTCGGCACAAAACCAAAACATCCTCATGCTAGCCATTGAGAAGAAAGACTAACTACACACAGATCTTTGTCAGTAAGATGCTTCCTGTAAATGCTGCATTCCATGTGTTTTTGACAGTGAAGTAAGTGTGTGGTCTGGTTGTTACAGTATTCATAAAATCTTAATTGACAGTTGTGCTTATCTCACTGTTGTATTGGTTATTCCCTGACTTAGGAGAAAGACTCTGAAATTAGCCTGTTTTTTATGGGGTCTGTGGTAGTTTCATTACTTAAAAGTGTGATTGTGTTAACAGGTTTTAAATGTAGTTTTTTTTCAAAGTAAGATAAAAATGATGAGTAGTGGTGAAGTTTCCAAAATGTTATTTTAGTACTGTGTTGCCCATTAGTAGATTGTGAAGTCTGGGCTGATGAGCTTTGTTCTGCTGTGGTTCCCTGAACTCAGAAGGGGGCACAGCGCCTCAGAATGCCAGGCTCTAGAAAATGGGCAGCTGCTGTGCTGTGTGACAGCTCACACCAAAGCCTGCTTTTTACACTGAGACAGTACCAAATGTGACTGCTGGGTTGAAGGAAGCCTGGAAATGGATTTTTTTACTTCCCATGCTTTATGTTACTTGATGGTATCTCTTCAGCTTTTAAAAACAGCCTTTTAGGCAGTTGATTCCATGAAGAAATACCTATAAGAAGTTCAGGAGCCTTGAGCTGGTGAACCAGTAGATTGAAAGAAAAAATAATCGTGGAACTGACACTTTAGCAAA